AATAAAAAACTATTTCTGAATGTGGATTACTAAAGTTACACTCACTAAGAGAGTTTTTGTCACTTTTTTTTAAACCCAAGTTTATCCGTCATGGTAAAAGTAAAAACGCTTAGGCGCAAAAATAGAATTTTTTCTCTATGGTAAGTGATCACTTTTGTGACGTTTCAGGATAAATTTATTTAACTTAGTTATGAATAATTTTGAGTCTCCATTTTCTCGATTCCGACAATATAAATTTTTTAGAATCTAATATATCTACACTGACAAAAATCATAAAAATTATCTTAAAGAAAACACTAACATAAATAAATTTTATCCAAAATAAAGTGTAATATTTTCAAAAATTTCACTTCCTGTAATACCGGAAATGATTATTTCAAATAAAAAGCTATGTTTCTGAATGTGGATTACTAAAGTTATCACTTTTTCTTAAACCCAAGTTTATACGTCATGGTAAAAGTAAAAACGCTTAGGCGCAAAAATAAAAAAAATTCTCTAGGGTTGAAAAAGTGATCACTTATGTAACGTTTCTGGATAAATTTATTTAATCTAGTTATGAATAATTTTGATTGTAGATTTTCTCGATTATGACTATATTTTTTTTAAATCGGAACAACCTGTGTATACCGAAAAAGAATTAACAATTTTTTTTTTCTCTCAGTAACAATGTCAGATTTGGACATAATTTAAAAACCACCTGTATTTAAGTAACAAAATTAACATTCAAATATTTATCACCTGTTATCAAGTTTTATCACGTTTTAAAAATTCACGGCCACTTTGCCCGTAAAAAATAGCAGAAACCCCAAAGACCGTTAACCCGTTCTTGATCCCGCATCACCCGTCCTTCATCAAATTAATTACCACTTCGCGTACTTTTCCTTGCGTCCATCTATTTAAGAGAGCCACCCGAGTCAATTGACCAGTTGTCCGATGATGCGTTCGATTCCAATTAACTCAACCAAACTCATGTGATTCGAAAATGCAAATTTCGGTGCACAAGAACCGGATCTACCAGTACATGGCCGCCCTCACAGGTAAAACCCCCTCTAACCACCCCCTCACTCTACCCTCCCCCTTCAGGCACTCTGGGCATCATCTCCAGCGAGATGCACTACGGCTGGCCCTCCCCCTCGCTCCAAATCCTCTACAACGGCACCGACAAACTCAAGATGGACGAAACCGAAGGCTCCTGGCTCACCATCATGCCCTTGGTGGGCGCCATCCTGGGGGCCCTCATCACAGGCCTCGTCATCGACATTCTCGGCCGAAAACGGCTCATTTTGCTCTCCTCCATCCCGTTTTTCATCTCCTGGATCACCATTGGATTCGCGGAAACTTCAATCTTGCTTCACGTGGCGAGGTTCTTGGCCGGGTTGACCGATGGGTTATCCTTCACGGCAGTCCCTATGTTCCTGGGGGAAATCGCAGAGCCCAGTATTCGGGGCCTTTTGAGTTCCATGTGTCCCGTCTCCATCGTAATTGGACTCCTCTTGATCAACATCCTCGGGAGTTACCTCAGTATTTCCACAGCGGCCTTTGTCTCATCAATAATCCCAGTGATCCTCCTGGTAACCTTCATCTGGATCCCGGAAAGTCCCTATTTTTTGTTGATGAGGGGGCGTTACGATGACGCAAGGGTTAGTCTCCAGAAATTCAGGGGGAGTACCGATGTGGAAACCGAATTGGAACGATTGGCGAAAGCTGTCAAGGAACAAAACGAATCCACCGGAAAAATCTCGGATTTGGTCACGTGTCCCAGTAACCGGAAAGCCGTTTTCATCGCGTTGGGACTCCGGAGTGTTCAACAATTGACCGGAATCACCGCCATCACCTTCTACTGCCAGAGGGTGTTTAAGGAGAGCACTTTTATGGCCCCGGAAATCGCAACGATTATTTACTTCACTGTTCAGTTGGTTATGTCGGCGATTTCGTGTCTCATGGTGGACATTTCGGGGCGAAGGCCCCTCTTGATCATCTCCCTCTCGGGGACTGCAGTCACTCTCCTCATCAACGGGACTTATCTCTACATCAAGAATTGCACGAAAATCGACACCAAAGACTTCGATTTTGTCCTTTTGGCGGCTCTTCTGTGCTTTATCGTCATTTTCAGTCTGGGGTTGCAGACGATTCCGCTGCTTATCATGTCGGAGATGTTCCCCACGAATGTCAAAGCCTTCGCCCTGTGCTTGGCCGATATCTATTTCAGTGTGATTGCGAGTGTTATCTCGAAATTTTTTGACGGGACGAAGACTGCCTTTGGGATGCATGTCCCGTTTTACACTTTTACAGTTTGTTGTGTTTTTGGTTTGGTTTTTATCATTCTTTGTGTCCCTGAAACCAAAGGACGAACTCTTGAAGACATTCAGAGGTTCCTCAAAGGGGAAATTAGGATGTAAGAATTGTGTCAAGTACAAACTGATCTAATAAAGATTTTTCTAACTTGTGAGTTTCATTCGCAAAAATAGAACAAACCTTGATCGAAATAAATTCAGGAAGATTCGGTTGAAGGTCCGGACAAGTTGAAATTAATTGGTTTTTAACTCGAACCAGACTTGGAAAAATACGGAATTAGTGTGATTATGCAATTAGTTTAATTAACCTTAATGCGAGTGATTGTTTATTTAGTTGAGAAAATCCTGAAACAAACACACTTTTCTGGTAACTCTAAAAATAGTCAGTTTTGTTGGTAATTATTTCCGACAACCAAGTAACAGGCAGGTGTCCAAAAATCCTCAACTAAATGTGTCAAGTGGACAAAAGCCAGGAATTTCCACTATGACGTCTCAAATTTAATGACGACATTGCACACAAACAATCACAAAGGTATAAATAGACTCATTTTTGTATTTTGATGAAAACAGACGCTTTATTGCATCGTGAAAGATATTTTTAGCACCACATTTGTGGTGAAGACAGAGTTTACAAAGGAAATTCGACACGTGTCATGACCATGAAACTAAGAACGAAGTCAATCACAAGGAGGAATAGAAATAGTGTTTTCGAAATATAAATTTTTAATTTTGAATAACTTATTTGCGTTTGAAAGAATTTTTCAGGTAAACAACGTTTTTTTGTTAAAGCTCTCAAAAACACATCAAACCGCTTATTATGTTATGATTTATTTCACAAAAATAGTGGTTAAAAATAAAAAGTAGTATCTAAAATAACTATTTGTGTCCGAAAAAAAAACCGTAAAATAGCTATTTTGGAAGTGTATACATAAAAACGTATTAGAAAACGATTTTAGAATTTCTCATATTTCACAATTTCTCAAAAACTTTATTTTCAAAAAAGTCAAATCGGTTTCTTTTGGTCTATAATGCTGTCTAAAGGGTTGACACCCTTAAAATTAACAAATTCTCGAGTTCAAAAAAACTTTTTCAAGTCACTGAACAAAAGTGGATATTTTGAGTTTTTTTAAATGAGTGAAAATTTTATTTTTATTTTTCCAAAATCGTGTAATCTATAACAATGAGAAAAAAAGTCAACTGAACAAACATGAAAAACCGAGAGGTAGGTAAATCATGGTGTACGGGGTGGTGAAATTAGGTACGTGAAAATTTAAAATTATTTATTATTTGTTTTGAATTATTTAGAATTATTGTTTGAAATTCTTTGGAATTCTTAAAAGTATTCATGCAAATGCATGAATTTTAAGTCTGTTGATTACTTGAAACGAGTAAAAAACGAATAGTACCGATCGACTTCCAAGATTTATTTCAAGTAAAAACAAAAAAAAAGAACTAAATCCCCAAAAAGTGTTAAAGACAGAATTAAGCGCAAAAAAGAGACACAGAAGAAGAAGAAGAAGAAAGTAATATTAATGTAGCGTAAAATATTAAAATTAATAATTTTTAGGTGGTATATTATGAAGCCAACTGGTATATCGGCAAAGTAATAGAAAAATGATGTAACAAATGGCAATTTAAAAACACATTTAAAAAAAAATGTTACCTACAGGTCCGCCAGAACTCGCGGCCCAGAGAAAAATATCATTTAAGGTAAGATACCACTGATACCAGGAACATGAAAAAAATGTTAAAAAAATTCTATTTATAAAAATTTCGAAGTAATGAGAGTTTAAATTTTGCACTTTGACTTTATTTATTTCTGTTGGAAAAATCATTTTCCAAGTTTTTGCTACAGGCTATTAGAAGAGGAAACAAGGAAGTTGTATCCTAAATTGTAGCTCTGTTTAATGCTATTGAGGCTTTTATTGGCAAAATTTTTGTACCTTTACTAAATAATTACAAAAAAATCATTAAATAGACATGAAAAAATGTCAAATTTTTTTGACAGATAAGTACCATTTTTTAAACACTTTCTCCATATTCTTGGTATCTTATCTAACTTGGAATTTTTATCTGGAGTGCAAGTTCTGACACACCCTGTATATAATTTATTCAGTCCTATTTTGTTCTGTTCAGAAGAAGTTAACTTAACTTTCAATAAAATAAGGAATGAATTAAAATAATTAATATTGAGTATGAAGACTTGAAACAGTCTGTGTACCTAATTGGCATTTTTGGATTTTATGTATTGTTTATTTTTATTTACATTATTATTATTTTACTTTACTAGAACATTTATTTACATCACGTTTTCAAAATAATTTTTTTTATGTTAATTGTGTTCACTTTCTTTAATAATAATACCATGTAGTTATTAAAAACAAAAGATTAGATAAAAAAGCAAAAGTCAAAAGTATAAAAAATAATTACAAATAGAGCAATTTTGATATACATATAAATATAATATGGAATATACGAGTACCCACATAGTAAAAAACTTACGCTAATAGGATAAAATGATATCAGAAAATTATTTAGTTAAGCACATACTATAAATATCACATCCACATCAGTTTACTTTTATTTTTTGGAATTATTTGGAATTATTTAAATTTATCGGTATAAATGGAATTATGGCGTACAAAATGTGCAGCGGTTTACCCCTAGTGGAAAACTTATTAAATTTCTTATTTTATTAGGAAATTAAACAATAAACTTCTTACGTAAACCGATACAAGGTAAACTAATAAATCTCGTTTAATTTTTTTTTAATTTTGTAGGTGCTGAAACTTTGACACATTATTTGGGGTCAAAGCCTTTCAAACACATTGCTGAAAAAATGCTGCCAAGGCTGTTCGATCTTCCCCCAAAAAATCGTTATTCTCACTGGTGATTTTGGCACATTTCCCTACAATTCGATCTCGCATGTTTCGAATCAGCTGTGCCGACTCGCTCACCAATTACTCCGGGTATTTTCCTGGCACTAGCTATTTAAACCCGCCGGTGGCCCACTCCCATTCATTCGTAAACCCTCTCTCAGCGCGATTATCATGTTGAAAAAAAATTCCAAAGGGACCAAATCCTAAAACAATGAAGATAGCCACGAGTTTCAACTCCAAAGTGCCCGAGGGCAAGCCCTTATGCCAGTATCTGGCGGCCTTCACCGGTGAGTTTCCTCTATTTTTCTTTATTTATGCGAAATTTGATTTTTTCGGTGCGCAAATTGACTCACCGAAAAAACCAGCCAAAACTCCCATTCGGCTATTCTTAAACCCGACTTGGATGCCAAACAAATATTTGATTTATGACCAACTCGTGGAGGTAATTTTAACCGCGTTTTTGGGAATAAAAAATTTAGAATTTTTGCTTTTTTGATTTATTAGTTTGTGGACGCGCCTGGTATAAAAGACGACGCCGAGACGTCTGTAAACTTGACCTTGAACTGTGATAATACTCCCATTACCCTCACAATTACTTCTGTGTAGTTTTTTATCTAACGAAGGGGCCATTTAATAAAATCAAGGTAATGAATGAAAACGATATATTTAACAGATAAAAAAATTAAACGCGCTTTTGTGATGTGTATCAAAAGAATGGACCTTAAAAGTGCAACTTCATGAAGGTTTTATTGCAGAAAATGTATTTTTGAAGAGTCTGTGAATAGTTTTTTAACTGAGCGCCATTTTGATTTTTTCTGTATAACTGGTTGCCTGTCCAACACTTTATTTTTTTGTTTAATTAAGAAAAATACGTGTGTGTAAAATCTTAATTAACATTGTTTAGTTACACAAATTGTAAAATTATTGTAACAAGTAATAACAATATTATTTCATAAAAGTCGGTGTATAACTGGGTGCCTATGCCAATAAAAACCATAAATAACATTCAACAGAATTACATTTTTGGATACAAAATTGTGTGAAAAAATGTCTTTTCTAAAATAAAATTAATCTGTTTCGTTATTTTTGCAAATTCTTTCTGGTTCGTTTTTATTAGAACACCCTGTATCTCATGAATGAATGGTTTGTTTCAATTTTGGTAAAAAGTTTTGAAAAGCTTTCATTTGATGTGCCACAAGTAGGGTAATGCTATATAAATTTTTAAAGTTGGGGTGCGTGGGGGTTACTGGGGGTGCTTTAAAAATTACGTCAAAAAATGTTCCCCTCGGAAACAAAATTCACCTGTTTCGGCGTTTTTGCAAAGTCTTTTTAGTTTCTGAGACATTTACGGTAGCTCGTTTTCATTGGGACACCCTGTATAATTTTTGACTTAATTTGTTGAATTTTAACGAAGGGGCCATTTTATAAAATCAAGCTAATAAATGATACCATGATAAAAAAATTAAACGCGCTTTTGTGATGTGTATCAAAAGAATGGACCTTAAATGTGAAACTTCATGAAGGTTTTATTACAGAAAATATATTTTAAAGAGTCTGTGAAAAGTTTTTTAACTGAGTGCCATTTTGATTTTTTGTGTATGACTGGTTGCCTATCTAACACTTCATTTTTTTGTGTAATTAAGAAAAATACGTGTGTGTTAAATCTTAATTATCATTGTTTAGTCACACAAATTGTAAAATATATTGTAAAAAATGATAATAATATTATTTCATAAAAGTCGGTGTATAACTGGGTGCCTATGCTTCAGGGACTTTGACAATCGTCACCAGCGGGATGCACTACGGCTGGCCCTCGCCCTCGTTGCCGGTCCTGGAGCGCCTGGAGAACTCCACCTTGACCATGAATCACTCCGAGGGCTCCTGGATGGCCGTCATGCCCCTGTTGGGGGCCCTCATCGGTTCGCTTCTCGCCGCCACCGTCGTGGACATCCTCGGCCGCAAACGTGCCATCCTCCTCACCTGCTTCCCGTTCTTCGCCGCCTGGATAATGATCGCCTTCTCGCACTCCCTTACCATTTTATACATCGCTCGTTTTATCGCCGGCATCGCCGACGGTTGGGCCTTCACCGCCGTCCCCATGTACATCGGCGAGATCGCCGCCCCCAAAATCCGGGGCCTCCTCGGTTCGGGCGTTTCCACGTCCTGGATCTTCGGTATTCTCCTCATCAACGCGATTGGGTCCTACTTGAGTATCACAATAACGGCGCTAGTCTCCTCCATAGTCCCAATTTTGACACTTTTAACCTTCGTTTGGATGCCCGAAAGTCCGTATTATCTAGTCATGCGAGGCCAAAAGGACGAAGCCAAGCGGAATTTGCAGCGTCTTCGTGGGTTGGAGGACGTGGAGGTTGAGTTAACAAGAGTCAGTTTGGCCGTCAAGGCCCAAACGCAAAACACGGGGAAATTCCTCGACTTGTTCGTCACGAAGAGCAACAGGAAGGCCGTTTACATCATAATGGCCCTCCGGGGGGCCCAGCAACTCAGCGGCACCACCGCCATCACCTTCTACACCCAACACATCTTCAAAGAGGCCGGAGACGACATCTCCTCCGAACTCGCCACTGTTATCTACTTCTCCGTCCAATTCCTCCTCACGATTTTGTGTTCAAGTATCGTGGATAAAGCCGGCAGGAGGCCCCTTCTTGTCCTGTCTTTGACGGGTTCGGCCTGCGCCCTCTTCCTCGAAGGCACCTACTTCTTCATCAAGACGCAAACTGCCATCGATGTCTCCCCCTTCACATGCATCCCCGTTATTTCCCTCATCGGGTTTGTGGTTTTCTTCAGCTCGGGGATGCAGTCCATCCCCATTTTGATGCTAGGGGAGTTGTTCCCAGCCAATGTCAAAGCCTTCGCCTTGTGTTTAGCCGATATTTACTTCTGTGTGATGGCCACAATTGTGTCAAAGTTCTTCCAAATTGTCAAAGACTCTTTCGGGATGTATGTCCCGTTCTATGCCTTCACCGGAAGTTGTCTCTTGGGGTTGGTCTTCATCGTGGCGTTCGTACCGGAAACGAAGGGGAAGAGTCTCGAGGAGATCCAGCAGTATTTGGGGGGGAAAACAGGAAAGGAGGGGGAGGAGAAGAGCGAAAGTGGAGAAGTGTGATAAGACTGATTTGTTGCCTACTTAATTGTTTTGTATTTTATACCGTGAGTTAAACAATATTTTTTCTATGAAAAAATAATTTTTATTAAATGTAAGTTTGATATAGCGATATTTGGGTTTGATTTTGCGTCTCAAAATTACAATTTTGCAAAATTTTATTAGCAAAAAAACAAGTTTCTATTACTTCCGGTTGTTGATAGCTTGACATTTCATTAGAAGCAACCAGTGTTGCCAGATCACAAAAATACAGGTGTGTCAAAGCTCGCGCCCCAGAAAAAAATTCTGTCAAAAACATTTGATATTTATTTTTGACATTTGACATTTTTTTATGACTATTTAATGATGCTGATAATCTTGTATATGCTTTTTTATAATTATTTAGTAAAGGTACAAAAATCTTGCCCATAAAAACCATAAATAACATTAAACAGAATTACAACTTCGGATACAAAATTGTGTCAAAAAATGTCTTTTTTAAAATAAAATTAACCCGTTTCATTTTTTTTCAAATTCTTTCTGGTTCGTTTTTATTAGAACACCCTGTATCTCATGAATGAATGGTCTGTTTCAATTTTGGTAAAAAGTTTTGAAAAGCTGACCGGTTTCGGCGTTTTTGCAAAGTCTGTTTAGTTTCTGGGATATTCGAGGTGGTTCGTTTTCATTGGGACACCCTGTATAATTTTTGACTTAATTTGTTGAATTTTTGGTTTGGTTAGTACACAAACGTAACAGCATTTTCGACCAAATTTTGTAGTTTCATGGCTTATTTTTGTCTTGATTTTGTTAAAAACTCGTTAAATCAAGTGAAACAAACAAAATAACAACAAAATCATTTCTTTTTGTGATTTTTTAGTATTTTTGGACAAAATTTTATGACCCTCTGGTTCCAAAACAAGCTATAAAATAATATCAGTTTCGATTTAAGTTTGTTATTTTTTAACATGTTAAACAAAAATTTTCAAATTTTTTTGTTATTTCAAAAACATTGAAAAAGGCAAAAATTACGCCATTTTTGGGCTTTTTTTTAACGAAATTATGCAAAATAATCGTTTTTCTTGGTGAAAAATGTAGAGCATTAGAAAAAGGTAAAAGTAAATAATTGCCATTTTTAACCTAGGTATTTGGTAAAATCTCTTAAAAAAACAAATATGTATTCATAACTATTTTTCATAGGTCAGGTCAGGTGGTTTTGCGATTTTTTTTTTGAGAAAATTTGGTACTTAACAATAATCAAAATTCGAGTTGAAAAACGTTTATTTTTGAGTTAATTTACAATGCATATCAGTAATTAAAAAATTAATGTATTAATTTCTTTTTTTTTTGCAACCGCAAAATTGAAACATTCATTCTTGGTCACTCGGTATATGTATTACATTTCCATAACGTGATCGTGGGGCTTTTGTGCCACTCATACCAACCAAAATTTGTTGATTTTTCCTCATTGTCATTGAAAAAGGCAAAAATTACACCGTTTTTAGTCAATTTTGTAAAATTTTTGGCTTGTTTTTAACGAAATTATGCAAAATAATTGTATTTCTTGCTGAAAAATGTTTTCTAATGTAAAGCATTAGAAACAGGCAATTTTAAACCTATTTGTTAAAATCTCTTACAACAAATATGCATTTATAATTATTTTTAACAGGTCAGGTCAGGTGGTTTTTCGATTTTTTTTTGAGAAAATTTGATGAAATAATTAAATTTCGAGTTGAAAAACGCAGAAAATTATCGAAAAGAAATAATGTATTAATTTCTTTTTGTAACCGCAGTTATAGGTAACTGTTTTTTTTCATTTCTAAAAATCACCAGATATTAGAATTTTACCAAAGTTTTCACCAAATTATCAGACTGGTATGAAAATCACCAAACTTGGTGAAGTGTCACCAGACCTGGCAACACTGGAAACAACAGAAAAAAATGCTGTGTTGCCAACTCAAACATTCATTCTTGGTCACTCAGTATATTACATTTGCATAACGTGACCGTGGGACTTTTGTACCACTCATACCAACCAAAATTTATTGAAAAAAATAATTAAATCCCGTTGCTGCAACTCGCTCCTCTGGTAGTTTTCCACTCGACGTCACATTCTGGCGAATCTACAAGCATTGACAATAACCCGAAAATAGAAGGACGGCCAAGTTCAAAATAGCCATTTTTCTGCACCGATTTAGTGCGTATTGAGTTTGTTTTTCGTGGATGCTGGAGGCCACAATCAACACTCTAAACTTCTAAACCTCCACGGCGATGATTTGAGTGAAATTGCACGCAGACGTTGAACGACACTCACTCGAACTGGTTGGAAGTGGTTTCATTTCAAAAATTTTCTTTGTGTTTAGTTTCAAAAAATAAATTTTATTTTTGTTGTGGGTAAGTCAAAGTTTGGTCTTTTGTGGTGCCGCCCTGTCTGGAATTTATCGATTACGATGAGATGTCCAAGAATTTTAATTCGATTTGAGGGAGAATTGAAATGTTAATTTTTTTGTGACTCTCATAATCATAAATTTTAATAATTGATGCTGTCGTCCACTAGGTCAGGGCCGGACTGGTGAATTTTAATATTGGATTGACTTGCGTCAAATTCTATCGATTTTCCTGCAGACAAGTCTCTCATCACCAATATTAAAATAATCACAAAAAACGAAAAAATGCTTGTGGGTTAGTGATAAGGCGCGCATGCATAATTAAAATCAACAAGTTTTGTTCATTTTGCAAGTAATAAAACCGTGTCAGGTTTAAGCAAATTCGTGACCCCTGAAATTTAGAAAAATCACGAATCCGTTGACCCAAGTCCGGTCCTGCTCCGGCACGAGCTTCGCACACTTGATAATTCCAATATTAACAAAGATTCAAATCCAAGGCTACTCTCAAGGTAGAAAGATGATCAAAATGAAGCTATTATCACATGAATAATTAAAACCGAAATGAGTCAATTTCACCGGAAACCGAAGATAACTGTCTTTTGCTATCGCAAATTCCGGATTTTTGACTCAGGAGCTTGGAAAGTTTGCAAATCGTGCTCGCGACCTTGATTAGCGCAGGTTCTCAGTGGTGCTTTTTCCAGAGACTCAGTTCGTGCGGAGCCTTTAGACGGGATAGAAGACAACATGACGTCAGAAACGAAGGGTAGTCCCCTTTTGCAGTACATTGCCGCTGTCACAGGTGAGTTTGATCGATTTTCTTGCTGTTTATTGATTCGTGTCAACTTGTGAAAGTTTGCAAAATGCAAAAATATTCAAATGTGGCCGAATTTTTTTTTTTTAATGAGGTCAACGCTTGGGGTAACGTTTGGAAAACAAAGGTGTTTTGTTTCGATGACTAAAGAGTACGCGACTTGCGGATAAACAATTAATTCAAATATGGGTTTTCTGGAAATTTCCATTACGGTGCGACTTGCGGATTGATACTTAACTGTTTTTTTTGACCACACTGTAATTACCTTCAGCTATCTTTCGTAATACAATTTGGTTCGTAAAGTAATTATTTTAATAGGTGGCTTTTTATTTAATGCATTCATCTCGAGATTAATTCGGTATAATAAAGTGATAAAGTTTTTTGTAACAAAATGAGCAAAAATGCTGGGTAAATACTCGATCGTATGACCTACATTATTAAATAAAAAATTGGGTGTGATAAGAAAATTCTAAAACTTAGTTAACTTAACTTATTTTTTTTACTGAAACAACAATAATAATTATGTTATGTTATTATATAATTTAATAATATAATTTTTAATTAATTAAAAAAACGAGCAAAACAAGCAATAAAATAATATCAATTTCGATTTAAGTTTGTTATTTTTTAAAACAAAAATTTTCAAATTTTTTTGTTATTTCAAAAACATTGAAGAAGGCAAAAATTACGCCATTTTTAGCATTTTGTTGAATTTTTGGCTTGTTTTTAACGAAATTGTGCAAAATAATTGTGTTTCTTGGTGAAATATGTACGTATTAGATAAAACATTAGAAAAAGGTAAAAATAAATAATTGCCAATTTTAACCTATTTGGTAAAATTTCTTAAAAAACAAATATGTATTTATAACTATTTTTAATAGGTCAGGTCAGGTGGTTTTTCGATTTTTTTTTTGAGAAAATTTGATGAAATAATCAAATTTCGAGTTGAAAAACGTAGAAAATGATCGAAAAAATACAAAAACAGTGTTGTTTATTTTTGATTTAATTTACAATACGTATCAATAATTAAAAAATTAATGTATTAATTTCTTTTTGCAACCGCAGAGTTATAACAGTTTTTTTTTTCATTTCTAAAAAATCACCAGATATTAGAATTTTACTAAAGTTTTCACGAAACTTGGTGAAGTTTCACCAGATCTGGCAACACTGGAAGCAACAGAAAAAATACTTTGTTACCAACTCAAACATTCATTCGTGGTCACTCGGTATATTACACTTGCATAACGTGAACGTGGGGCTTTTGTGCCACTCATACCAACCAAAATTTGGTGATTGTTCCTTACTGTTATTTCAAAAACATTCTTAAACAATTGAAAAAGGCAAAAATTACGTACGCCGTTTTTTGTCTATTTTGTTAAATTTTTGGCTTGTTTTTAACGAAATTATGCAAAATAGTTGTGTTTCTTGCTGAAAAATGTATTAAGACGCTCGAGAAATGCAAAAATAATATAATTGCATTCATATAAATGAATGATGATCCACTTTAGAGACAGTCGATTTTCATTTTTTTAATACAGGGTGTTTTTTTAAATTGCCAAAAATTGAAACCACATACTTATTCTACATCGCAAAATAACACTAATTTGTCAAATAAACGTTTCATTTCGGATATACAGGGTGATAAAGTTTTATGATAAAAATTAAAATCTATTAGTTCCTCCAAACCCACTTTTAACCAATTTATGTGTTTTCAAAAAAATTTACAGGTTTTATGAACCACTAAAAGTGCTTATTTTTCGTCAATTACTTTATCTAGATTTTTATATTTTTGTACTAGTATTATTTTTCGATGTAGAATATGGGGTTGCAATTTTTCGCAATATTCGCAACAGTAAATAAAAATATTGTTAACATAACGTTTGAATATTTTTTTCCGTTGTACTTCTTCTTTCTATTTTCATTTTATTTACCTATTGTTTTTTAGTTTAAGTAACAAATATTTCTGTAAAAAAGTGACAGGGACTTATTATTTTTTGAGCAATAATTTGTATCAAAATAAAAATGAAAGATACAAGGGGACTCATTTAAAAATTGCAAAATTTCGTATTTGTTATGTTTTTCATCTTATTTTTTCAACTTTTCAGTACGGAATAAACCCAGTAAGTAAAATGAGCAAACAACCTTCCAAGAATAAACAATAACAAGAAAACATACCTCAAACAGTTGTTTATTTTGTCAACTTAATTTAATCATACTTAGATACTGAATATTAAATTATATCCGGACTGGTTTTTTCCACACATATTTTACACACAGTTTTTTGAAAGAGATAATTCAAGAATGTGAAAATTGATAAATTATTAATAATGAGAAAGGCTTTTAACACCAATCTTATCTTTGAGATATTGCAGCAATTGTTAATTTTTTTTATACTAATTTTAGTGTATTTAATGTTGGTAACAGACAAGTAAATTACTTTCAAAAAAACTTATCAATTTCCAGAATTTTCAGTGGCCAATTTGAAAAAAAAATTCATTTCTCGATTAACATTAACATTAAATGTGAGTTGAGTTGAATTTTTCACACTACTACCTGTCACCAACTAACGCAAAATTCCCTAAATTTAATTTTTTTTTCAGCATAAAAATTGCAAAATAGAACAAAAGAATTTCTCTCATTGATTTTAATATACTATTTCATAACCAAGACCAATTTTTTCTTAATTTTTTAATGTGGAAGATTTTTATTTGAGTTAGATATGGAAATTTTTTTTAATGTTTATTCTTTTTTTACTTCTTTAAGTTCCTATTGTGTGTTTTTCGAATAGGAAAAAAAACAAATTATAGATTTGATAGGTAATGAACATTTCTACCTACAACAATCTGGTCAAAACAAGTTTAAACCTAAACCAAAGCATTACAGGAAAAGATAACCCGTTTGGTTTTTTATTCAAGTTGTTTATTATTAATGATTTATTGTATAATCATCACTCGAGTCATCAACAAAAGAACAGCTGCTTGAACTGAAGGTCTCTACCTGAACCCGAAAATTCCCATAATACACCCTACCTGTTTTTTATGTCGAAATTTGATGACCCCAAAAAACCAGAATTCAATCTAAAAAATGCAATTCCTTGCAAAATAGAGAAACTCGCTTTCACAACTCAATAACGCAATGTTTTGCAGGCACCTTGGCCATCGTCACCGACGGCATGATCTACGGCTGGTCATCCCCCAGCCTCCCCCAGCTGAAAAACAACGCTTCTTGCACCGTTTGCATTGACGAAAACCAGGGCTCGAACCTGGCCGTCATGCCCCTCGTGGGGGCCGTCATCGGCTCGCTCACCGCCGCCACCATCGTCGACATCCTCGGGCGAAAACGCACCATTCTTGCCACCGCCGTCCCCTTCTTCCTCTCCTGGATCATGGTGGCCTTTGCTCGGAGTGTTGTCGTGCTCTACATCGCCAGACTCATCGCCGGCATCGCCGACGGGGTCACCTTCACGGTGGTCCCCATGTACATCGGGGAGATCGCCGACCCCCAGGTGCGGGGGATGCTCGGCTCCAGCTGCTCGGTGACCTGGATCGCCGGTTTTCTCATAATCAATGTGATTGGCTCGTATTTGAGCATCAAAACCACTGCCTTGATCTCCTCCGTGGTCCCCGCAATCCTCTTTATCACCTTCTTGTGGATGCCGGAGAGTCCGTACTATTTGTTGATGAGGGACCAGCCAGACGCGGCCCGGAGGGCCCTGGAAAGGTTCAAGAAGGGCAAGGATGTCTCCGGGGACTTGCACCGGATTCGCACTGCGATCCAGGCCGAGGAGAAGTCCCACAAAGGCCGATTCGTCGATTTGTTCCGGGTGAAGAGCAACCGGAAGGCGGTGTTGATCATCGGGGGGCTCCGGGGCTTCCAGCAGTTGGCCGGCACCACCGCTATTGCCTTCTACACCCATGAGATCTTCCAAACTGCCGGGGACCACATTTCCGCCCATTACGCTGTGATGATCTACTACTCCATCCAACTCGTCCTCACCATGTTTTCCTCGAGTATCGTGGATAGGGCCGGTCGAAGACCTCTGCTGCTCATCTCCATGGCGGGCTCGGCTTTGGCCCTCTTCGTCGAGGGGACCTATTTCTACATTTTGAACGAAACGTCCATAGATACTAGCTCATTTTCGATCGTGGCCGTTGTAGGGCTTCTAGCTTTTGTGATATTGTTCAGTTTAGGGATGCAGTCGATCCCGATTTGCATGTTAGGGGAGTTATTCCCCACAAACGTGAAAGCTTTCGCGCTTTGCTTGGCGGATGTTTATTTCAGTGTGATGGCCACAGTGGCCTCGAAGTACTTACAAATAACTAAAGTGGAATACGGACTACATGTCTCGTTTTACGGTTTCGGGGTTTGTTCACTTCTTGGACTAGTTTTTATTTATTTCTTCGTGCCCGAAACCAAAGGAAAGACCCTCGAAGACATACAGAAAAAACTAAGAGGGGAAGTCGACGACTACGATGAAAAAACCACCGAAGAAGAGAAAGTTAGTCTCAAAGCGTAACCCATTGTAATTTTATTTTGTTTTGAATAAAGTATTTTTATAATTTTGCGTGAACTGCCTTTAACCGGTTCAGTGTGAACGGCACTTTATTTCAATGCCATTGACACAGTGACAGTAAATATAACCTCAAACTTGCGGAAACACTACAAAAACAGCTTTTGCGTAACCTAATCTCACATCAATCAATGAAACGTGACAAAAATGGAAATAGATGATGAACCCGTCATGAAAAAACCCAGGACTGAGGGGCCCCAAACCGAATCAAACGTCCCGAAACGTAGGTAAACATAACCTCGAAAACGTTAATAAATCGTCCAATTTTAGCCGAAATTGAGCCCGAATCTGACAATTCGCCCCCACAAAGTGATAAGAAAGGTACTAGAAGTGGCCGAAGTGCGTTTGTTTACTCGTGTGTTGCAGGTGTGAAGCCCCCAACCCACCGACTTTGCCCCTATTTGGACACCATTAACCGGCAATATCTCGATTTTGACTTCGAGAAACTGTGCTCAGTGTCACTGACCCGCATCAACGTTTATGCATGTCTCGTTTGCGGGAAGTATTTCCAAGGCAGAGGCACAAATACCCATGCTTACACACATTCGGTGGCTGAAGGCCACCACGTTTTCCTCAACTTGCACACCTTGAAGTTTTATTGCTTGCCCGACAATTACGAAATTATTGGTAACAATATTGAGTAACAAAGCGATTTTTCTGATAAGTCAGTCCCTAGATTCGTCCCTCGATGACATTAAGTATCTCCTAAACCCCACATTCACCGAGGAACATATCAGTACTTTGGACAACAGCACGAAGATGTCTCGGGCCATCGACGGCTCCCTCTACATGCCCGGCATCGTGGGCTTGAACAACATCAAAGCCAACGACTACTGCAACGTTGTTTTGCAAGCCCTTTCGCGAGTGGTCCCCCTTCGTAATTACTTCCTGCGCGAGGAGAACTACAGCAAGATCCGACGCCCCCCTGGCGACTCCTCCTACCTCCTAGTGCAGCGCTACGGCGAGCTCATGCGCAAGTTGTGGAACCCCCGGAATTTCAAAGCGCACGTGTCCCCCCACGAAATGCTCCAAGCTGTGGTCTTGTGGAGCAAGAAACGGTTTCAGATCACGCAACAGGGGGACCCCATCGACTTCCTCTCCTGGTTCCTCAACGCCCTACACCGGGCCCTCAACGGAAACAAGAAGAAAAACAGCTCGATTATCTACCAATCCTTCCTCGGAAACATGAAAATCTACACGAGGAAAATCCCCCCGACGGAGCTCGACGACAGACAAAAACGCATGCTTTTAGCCACCCCCGAGTACCAGGAAATCATCACGGAATCCCCCTTTTTGTACCTCACCTGCGACTTGCCTCCACCGCCCCTTTTCATCGATGAATTCCGGGAAAATATCATCCCCCAAGTGAATTTGTATCAACTACTCACCAAGTTTAACGGACAAACCGAGAAGGAGTACAAGACTTACAAGGAAAACTTCTTGAAGAAGTTTGAAATCACGCGATTGCCCCCTTATTTGATCTTGTACATCAAGAGGTTCACGAAAAATACCTTCTACGTGGAGAAAAACCCCACAATTGTGAATTTTCCGGTCCGGAATGTCGATTTTGGGGAGTTTCTAACACCGGAAATTAGGGCGAAACATAAACACACGGTTTATGACTTGGTCGCGAATATTGTTCACGACGGGGAGCCCGGAAAAGGCACTTACCGGGTTCATATTTTGCAAAAATCGACCGGAAAGTGGTACGAGATGCAGGACTTACATGTCACGGATATTTTACCACAGATGATCACCCTGACGGAGGCCTACATACAAATTTATGAGCTAAGAGTAGAAAAATAACGAAATAATTTGTCTCAATTCGATTTATTTATAATTCTGCCTCGCCAGTTCTGGATTAAACTGATTATTGTACTTTTTACCAACACTTTGGGGCTTTTCTTCTTCGGTTTTCTCTCCTCGCAATTTCGCCAAAAGTCCTTCAGTCCGCTTCCTCTCTTCTCTCTCACGTTTCAACCTCTCCATCCTCAAAACTTCCAATTTGCGTTTCTTCTCAAAATCGGAATCGGACTCAGAATCATCACTGGAATGTTTCTTCCGTTTCTTCTTCTTTTTGTGTTTCTTACTCTTCCTCTCCTCACTGCTACTCCTCTTTTTGGCCTTCTTTTCAATCGTTTTAAGAGTCAGGGCTACGGCTCTATGCACGGGTTCTTGACTCTTCTTCACGCCCCCAGAATCCCCCAGAAACTTCTTCATGACACTTAGAGGATCCTCCCGAAGCTTGCTTTTGAGCCCAACTTCGGTCTTATCATTTCTAAACCTGTCTGGTAGTTCATCGTACCAGTTTTTCTTCCCCAAAGCCTCATTCGTGTCTTGCCCCAAGTAAGTCAAGTAACCGATCTGTTTCTCATACTTTTCTTTCTCTTCCTTGACTTCTTTTTCGTGTTCTTTATTCGTGGTTTGGGTTTCTGCAATGCCTTCTTCGACTTCTTGGAAGAAGTTGACATGGGTGGTTTGTGCGGGGGCTTCCTCTTTACTCAAGGGAATAAAATCGTTAGTGGGGACACGCTCACGCGCCTTTTGTCTCAATAACTCGGTTCGGGCTTCCCGTTCGGCTAATTTGGCTCGATTTTCTCGCGCTTTTTCTTCTTCAGCTGCTTTGGCCTCGTCCCTCCGCACCCGCGCAATGTTGTCTTTCGAGCGGACATGCCATCTGGAAACTCACTCCTAAACCAAATTTATTACCAAACCCAATAATTTACCTTTTCTTTGGAAGGATATTCATTTTTATGACTCTACGCTGTGTTTACATTTCTTCTGTCATTTAAATGTCAGATTGACATTTATTGTTGTCCTTGTCTGGCTCGTCACAAACCGTATCTTGCATCTCTTTTAATGGTTAATTTTGACATCAAGTAAGGTGACATTTCGATTTTTGCACCACTTAACCAATCTTGCATTTATTTGAAAAATTATGCATTTGATATAATGTCACGCCGGCCTTCGCCCCTCGATACCGAAAAGTGTCGTCAATGTTCAAGTTTTTCAGACTATGCGAAAATCGCACGACGCAAAGCTTATGAAGAAAGTTCGGGAGAAGTGAGCCCCTAAAATGGGTGAAACCCTTATTGAAAATGCACCATTTTTAGGTGTCCTCGACCACAGGCCCGGGGACATTTCGTAGTGATTGTCCCTTAGATAAGGATGAGCTGGGGCGCAGTTCGTGGGGACTCCTCCATACAATTGCCGCTAAATACCCTGAAAACCCCACCAGGACTGAAGAGAAAGACATGGCTAATTTTTTTACATTGCTTTCTAAGTTTTATCCGTGTGATTTTTGTGCCGAAGATTTTCGCAAAGAGTAACAAGAATGTGACTTGGAAGATTGAATTTTACTGTTTTTCTTGTTCCAGACTTAAAGTGGATCCGCCTCAAACTGCCTGTCAGGAAGACCTAAGTCAGTGGCTTTGTAGATTGCATAATAGAGTTAATAATAAGATAGGAAAACCTGAATTTGATTGTTCAAAAGTTAATGAGAGATGGAGAGACGGCTGGGCTGACGGGTCCTGTGATTGACCATAGTGTTTGTTAGTAGTCTTAATAAACTAGGTAATTACAGTAAAATGTCGTTTTACTTGCCTTTTGGAAAATATTTTGAATTTTTTAACCTTGACGACTTTACTGCGCACGCGCAGAGAAGTCAACATAACCACAAATTAATATTATTTTCAAGATTTAACTGTTTTTTTGCAGTTTGCTAAGTAAAATACAGAACAAAAGTGAGTTCAGCCACACACGACCCTTACTACCGGTCTAAAAGACAATTTCGTGTTTAAAAACTTTAATAATAAAAAAAAGTGAGGTTATGTCACTTGTTTTTACCTCAATCATTAATTTATTCATTTTCAGATTACATAATGGCGAAATGGTCAATTTAAGGCCCCATTGGTAGGGTCATGGACACCGAGGATGAGTCTACGGCATATTTAAAGTTGTTCAATGACGGCCCCCACAATTACCTTTTGCACAGTAGCGAGGATGGTCTTAACGATGCTTTCCCCGTGGAGCCGATTTTCACGGAGATTGCCTCAGATTGGCCGTCTGAGGGTTTCCCAATTCTGCTCAGTGGCCCCCTCATTGCTGACGGTAAATTTCGGCCATTTACCCCCAAAAACTCAACTTTTTTTCCCAGAGAACAACGATAGTGAGTCAACTAGCACCAACGTACAATTATTGACCGAAGACAATGAAAATATCCCTCAAAATGAGTCAAAACAAGACAACACTGTCACATTTTACTCAAATGGGGACCAGAACCGCTTAATTCTCTCAAACGACGTCCTTTTGCGAGTGGAAGAGAACGAAGTGGAAAAGACAGTCACTCATGTGATCAATGGGGACGCATATTCCATAACTTACACGCAAGACAGTCAAGAGGAAGGGGCCGAAAACGAGGAAAATGTTGAAGTGATTCAATTATTGAACATCGACGGGACTGTAACCACGATCAATAAAAATTTATTCAATGTTGGGAAGGAGAAAAGTGTCAATTTTGAAAATTTTTATACCCAAGTCCAGGCCAATAAATGCAAACTTTGCTCATTTCTGTGTGAAAACGTGGATGATATCACCGCTCATATTAATTTAAAGCATGGGAAAGACCTGCAAGGGCCGCCAACGAACGAGGCTTTGCCCCCCAATGGCACCAAAATGACCTCGATTTTAAACGTGAATAAAGATAGGAAGAAGTACACTTTGTACATCTGCAGCGATTGTGGTAGTGGATTCTCGAATAAAGAAGATTTGAAACAACATATGATAACAGTGAGTTTTACTCTCAATTTTTTTATTATTAATTTATTTATTAGCAACACAAAATGGTTCCGACCCCCGTCACCCCCGATAAAGTCCCCCCAGACAAACCGGAAAGTGGAACTGAGCAAAAACGCTCATCTCGGGCCATTTCCGCTAGTCTTTTGAAAAAACAGAAAGCGTTACGTAAGGTCAAGTGTTCGATAAAAGGGTGCCCCCTGCGTTTCGACAAGGAGGAGTCCCGGAAACGGCACGAGGACTGTCACGTCGATCAAAACAAAAAACAGTTTATGTGCCCCGTGTGCAAAAGCAAATTTTCGATTTGGCGGATTTGTAGTATGCACATGTGGAAGTGCCATTCGATCGATTTGGGGCTCTTGACGTGTCCGATGTGCAACGAATTCAAGTCCTACAGTTCTGGTAATTGTCTCTAGTGTTGCCAGATCAAAAACAAAATTCACCAGATCTGGGTCGAAAAATTCCCCAAATTTTCACCAAATTACGATTTGTACGGTTAAAAAAACGCAGTTTTCAGCTTAAAAAACCGCTTAAACTCTTCAAAAAAGCAAAAATGACATGCATTTCGGCTTAATTCTGTGAATTTTCGACTTGTTTTTAACAAAATTTTGCGAAATAATTGCGTTTTTATTTAGGTTTGGACAAGATTTTGCAAATTAAATGAACCTTTGGTTCAGAAACGAAGTCGGTCGAAATAAGCAAAAAAATGATAGCAATTTCAATATAATTTTGTAATTTCTTAGCCTGTTTCAATGCATTATTTTGAATTTTTTGTGTTTTTATCTCTCAAAAACATCCTTAAACACTCTAAAAACACAAAAAACGCCGTTTTTTTGAATTTGTGACAAAATTAAAATAAGTTGCCATTTCCGGCTCTGTTTAGTAATATCTTGTCAAAAAAATAGAACTATTTTTAACCAATTTGGTGTGGTTTTCGATTATTTTTTTCTTTTAGAAAATTTGACGAAATAATCAAGTTAAAGCCTAAGAGTTAGGTAAAAATATCATAATGTAATCTTTTTTTATACCAATTTAGTGATTTTTGACCCGCTGCGCTGTGGCAAACTCGCAAAAAACCAGAGTTTTCAGTTTAAAAATTTGTGAAAAAGCACAAAATTATATCATTTTCGGCTTAATTCTTTGTTTTTTTGGCTTGTTTTTATAATAATTGCGTTTCGAGCTAAAAAATATGCTAAAACCTTCAAGAAACGCAAAAGTAATGTAATTTTTGACTTGAGATGTTGATTTTTCAGTTCGTTGTAGGGAAATCTTACAAAAAACGTGCTTAAAAACATTCTCGGCTTATTTTTGTCTAAGTAAGTAAGTTGACCGAAACAAGCTAAAAATAATATCAATTTCGATTTGATTTTGTAATTTTTTGCCTGCTTCAACAATTTTTTTAGAATTTTCTTCAGAAACAAAGCAAGTCGGGCGAAACAGGCTAAAAAATATCAATTTCAATTTAATTTTGTAATTTTTTTGACTAAAAAATGATATCAATTTGAATGTAATTTTGTAATTTTTTAGCCTATTTCAATGCAATATTTCAATCTTTTTGTATTTTTATCTCTCAAAAACATCTCTAAACATTCGGAAAAGACAAAAAACGCCGTTTTTGGGCTATTTTGTTGAATTTGTGGCTTGTTTTTGACAAAATTTTGCAAAATAATTGTGTTTCTAGCTGAAAGAGCATTTAAAAAAACTAAAATAAGTTGTCATTTTCGGCTTTGTTTAGTAATATTTTGTAAAAAACAAATGGAACTATTTTTAACCATTTTAGTAATTTTCAATTATTTTTTCTTTTAGAAAATTTGACGAAATAATCAAGTTAAAGCCTAATAGTTAGGTAAAATATCATAACATAATCTTTTTTCTCTCGCAAAGAAACAGTTTTCAGCTTAAAAATCTGCTTGAACTTTCGAAAAAGGAAAAAAGTATGTTTTTTTGGCTTGTTTTCGAAATAATTGACTTTTGAGCTGAAAAACATGCTAAAACTTTCAAAAAAATGCAAAATTAATGTAATTTTCGACTTAATATGTTGATTTCTTAGTTCGTTTTAGCGAAATCTCGCAAAAAAAACATGCTCAAAAACATTCTCGGCTTGTTTTTGTCTCATTTTACACAAAAACCAGTTAAATCGAGTAAAACAAACAAAACAACATCAATACCAATTATTTTTGTGATTTTTAAGCGTGTTTGGGCAAGATTTTGCAAAATAAATGAGCCTCTGATTCAAAAACTAAATAAGTTTATCGAAACAAGCTAAAAATAATATCAATTTCGATTTAATTTTGTAATTTTTTGCCTGCTTCAACAATTTTTTTTAGAATTTTCTTTGTATTTATCTCAAAAACATGCTTAAACACTTGAAAAAGGCAAAAATAACGCCGTTTTTGGTCGAATTTATTGAATTTTTTAATTGTTCTTAACGAAATTTCGCGAAATAATTGTGTTTCTAGTTGAAAAAGTATTAAAAAAAGACAAAAATAAATTGTCATTTTCAAGAATTTTTACAAAAGTTTTTACCAAATCACCAAACTAACTTGAAAATCACCAGATCTGGTGAAATTTCACCAAACCTGGCAACACTGCTTTTCTCTCTAATCTGGTGATTTTTCTGATTGTTTTGTAGTGCGAGTTATGAATCATATGGCCATTCATAATGAGGAAAAGCCGTTTGTTTGTGCGTCCTGTGGTAAGGCTTTTAAACAGTTGAATCAGTTGCGAAATCACGAAATTGTGCACAAGGCCCCCGACGAAGTCCCTGATTCGTTTACGACAAAACAGTGCGAGTTTTGCGACCGATTTTTCGCCAATTCGAAATGTCTCAAAAAGCACATCAAATTCGTCCATGACAAGTTCAAGCCTTTCATTTGTAATATTTGTGGGCACCAAACTGCCCGCAAAGAAATGTTGCAGTTGCACCATCGCCAACACACGGGGGATAAACCGTTTCATTGTTCCTATTGCGAGTATAAAACCGGCGATCGGAATTGTTTGCGGAAACACACGATGCGTCACTTCGGGGTGAGTCGGTGGGAGTCGGAAAGGGTCGGCTTTACTCGGGTTGTTTTAGGCGGCGAAGTACTCGTGTCCGTATTGTGACTACCAGTCGATTCAAACGTCGGCTTATAAAGTCCATTTGGCCAATAAACATCCCGGGAAAGAGGGGACTTATGCGTGTACTTTGTGTAAGTACACGACTATCAATTGTCGGTCGTATTTAGCACACGTCAAGTGTCACGAATTGGAGAAGAAGAAGAAACAAAAAGTCGAAAAACGGCCAGTTGAAGATAACGAGTCCAAATCGAGTGACGAAACGCAGAATTTCCTCAATACGGAACATTCGGAGGAGGCTGTGGATACCGGGGGAATCACCATACCTGCCACCTTCGATTTGCAACTAAACGATCAAACGAGTCTGATTTAATGTTATTTATTAATTAACTTTTATAAAAAATAGTTATAAATAGACGCAATAAATTAATTACTGACGATTGGTTTGGGTCGTGTTTTAAAGATGATTTTCCTCGTGATTATGGTTTTGACCATATATTCGGTTCCTTCATCCCCGTTTTGTTTCTCTAAGAGGGCGAAAGGTTTCTCCATTTTCATCTCTTTGCCGAACATGAGGTGGTGTCCGATTATTAGTACGGGAGTCCCCGATTTTGTAAAGTGCAAGTCGCCGATGAATTTGCCTTCGAAGCTGGTGTCGCTGTGGGATTTTAGGTCGCCCTGTAGCTCCAGAATGGCCCAATGCGAAGACAAGTGGCCCCCAGGACTGAAAAAATGGAGTTTTTCTCAAGTTTGAATTTGATCAATTTTAGTGATATTTGAATCTAATGAAAAACAAAATGTCAATCGAATATTTGTTGTGCTTACACTTGCAAAACAGTTTCTGGCCGTGTGATATACACTACCAATTTCAAAAAGTGTCAAAAATTCGAAAAAAATTCAAATAATTTGCGCTAGGGAACTTACGTGTATTTAGGTTGGCAACACAATGTCCTCTAAATTATTAAATTACCTGGAAATTTAAAAAAATATTCAATATTAAATTAAATACTTGCTGTGAAATCAAACCGCATCATTTAAGAAATGTCACAGATAACCAATATTGCCAACATCTGGTAAATTTTTTGATGGCGTAGTTCCGAACGATTTCGACGAATGCAACGACAAATATAAAATATTTTTATTGAGGGAACACAGCAGGGTACAATATTGTCAGTTTGAACGCATCAGAAGTTTTGGTTTTGTTTTTTTTTATTCTAAAAGTATTTGCATTCCGTGCCAACACCGAAAACCTAAACTCACTAGATTTTAAAAATTCGCTTGTTCGGTACTAGAAAATAGAGAATATTAATTTGTTGTTCCTTATTTTATACAGGGTTATTCATAAATGTGAAGCAATATTTGAACCTCAAAACTGAGCTATCAAATGATGTTATTTTTTTATTAGTTGAATGAAAATAAATCAAATAGAGGGTGATTCAAAAGTTCCCATGACAAAAAATTGTTTGAGCCTTTTTTGACGAGATATTCCTTTTCAAAGATTAGATTTTGGATTAAATTTTTGACCGTTTAGATTTGTAATTTTGAATTTAGTTAGCGGAAACGGCAGATCTTGCAAGATTGAATAGATACTTGTCGAAAAATAATCACTTATCTGTGTCCTATTTAACAAAGTAGCACATTCAACAATAAATTAAATCTGACAACGTCGGAAACAAAATAACTAAAATGATAATATGGAAATTGATAGTTGTTTTTCTCAAAAAAAGGCTCGAAAATTTTTTTTTTATGCTTACTTAAAAGTCTTCTATCAACATTCAAGAATTGGTTCGATAATTTTGAATCAAATTATACAGGGTTATATTTTATAATAAATAACACTTATTTGTCAAATAAATGATAGTCTTATAAAGCATCCTTGCGGATATACAGGGTGATAATTTTTCGGGATAAAAATTAAAATCCATTCTTTCAAAACTACTTAAGTTATTTTCATCAAATTTTACAGGCTTTGTGAGCCATTGAAAACACTTATTTTCCCGAAAAATGTAACAACTCTGATCCTTTTTTTTTCATGTAATGATTCCAAAAACCAACGGTAACCTACTTAAAAATTTTATATGTATTAAATTTCCAATATTTTAAACCAGATCTTGTTACAAAACGTAGAGGAATATTCGGTTTCAATTTAGGAAATAAGAAATGAAACAATGAATCAGAATAAAAAACTTTATTAACACAAACCACTCAATATCTAAATTTCTTAAACAAGGGATGCTTATGCTGACTCGCTGCACCCTTCTTATACTCATAATAAACCGCATCATCGGCTCCCGACATCGACCCCATTTGCCCCGTCCTCCGATTCCCTGAACCCCCAGCGCCTCTCCCACCCTCACCTGGGACCTTCTCATCCTCACAATCTATATCACTAGCAGCCAACACTTGCTGCAACAACTGGCCTTGCTCCTCCCTTGTTTTATACATCAAATCAGGCTCTTCATCCATGCCTGCCAACTTTGTAATAACTTTGTAACTGTAGCCTTGATTGACCAGAAACCTCTGTCTTTTCCTCGAGTAATTCATCTCCATTGTATCCTGTGATACTAGAGTGTAAAAGAAGGCGTTGTACTCCTCGGCGATGGCCCCTTTTTTCGCCCTCAAAATCCTCCCCAAACGTTGCGCTTCTTGTCTCCGGGACCCCCCATGTGACGAGATTTGGATCAAAACGTTGGCTTCCGGCAAATCAAACGACGTATCAGCGACTTTACTCACGAAAATCGTATTGACTTTCGGATTGAATTTGAAGTTTTGCAAGATTTGGATCCTCTCCCCTTGGGAGGTGGGGCCATAAATATACGGTTTGTTCATTTTGATCGCATAGTGTTTCAAAGCGAAAACATTATCAGAGAAAACTATTGTTTTGTCACCTCTTCTTTCATGATAACGTATCAAATATTGCGTTGCTCGAAATTTATTCGGATTCATGACATACAACAACAAACGTTTGCTTGTTTTGCACCCGAGATACTCTCGGTAAAACTCGGGTGTCATCGGACACCACACTTCGGCACATTGCACCCGAGCTATGAACCCTCTCTTCTGCAACTCCAACCAATTGGCTTCATACAATTTCGGACCAATCAAAAAATTCAAATCGGCGATTTTGTCATCTTCGCGGAGCAAAGTCGCCGTCAAACCCAACTTACAATGGGATTGAACGATGGTTAAAACCCGTCGAAACATTTTCGCGGGAATTGTGTGAACCTCATCGAGTACCATGATCCCCCATTCCTGTTCCTGCAACCATTTCATGGTTTGTTCGGCTTCCCATGACCTTCGTTGGGTGTGTGTTATCATCGAATAGGTGGTTACCAGAATGGAGCACCCCATTGGCTTATCTTTCGCCTCTGAGGTGAATCTACAAATCATGCTGTCGTCCGCTGTTGACCACATTTTAAACTGTTGTTTCCATTGTTCGACGGAAACACCCGAATTGCATAAAACTAGAGCTCGTTTCCGGACGGTGCAACACGCCGTTACGCCCACGAGGGATTTACCCGCGCCGCAGGGTAAGACGATGACACCCGATCTGGCCCGACCATTACCGAACATCTTCCGGAGGCTTTTCTCCTGGTAGGGGCGAAGCACCGCCGAGGGGCGCAAATCCACGTTAATATCGGGGTTAATCGTGTCATTTCGGAAATCGTACTCGGCCAATAAGGGGTACTCGAGCTCAATACAACGTTTTTGGATCGTTTCAATTTTTTCTTGATTGACCTCAAATGAGACAGTTTGAAGAGTCGACTCATCTTCATCCTCTTCATTGTCGAGTTTGTCATAAAAGTTCGTGATGTCATCGGGGACGGCGGAGGAGTCGGTTTGGTCCCCAGTGACCGGTTTAGCCACAAAACTCGGAACGTTTTTCTTTTCCTGAACTTGGGTTATAAACTCGTCCCCTTCCTCGTTGCGTCTCAAGCGACACTCTTGAATCACCGGGTCTTTCAACAACTTTTGGAGAATCTCCGGATGGGGGCTCTCCACGAAATACTTATTGTGCTTCAACACCAACTTGACTTTCCCATACGACAACGTGCACAATTTAATAAACTCGACAATACCGTCCGGAATGCTCGTTTTACTCAACCGATTCAAATACTCAATTATGTCATTGGTCTGCAGCCCCACACTCACGGCGGCATATAACGAATACGCCGTGAGTTTGTACTCGTGGATGTGTTCCGGCCGGCACACGGGCTCCGAAATCGCGATCAAAAAGTCATGGGCGTGTTTGTAAACCGGCGAGAAGGACTCGAGGAAGATGTGGCCGTTGGGGGCCACCCACAGCGGTCTCGACGCGTTGTCGGGCTTGAGAATCATCTGGGAGCGGTAGTCTTTGGCCCCGAATTCGTCCTCTTGCACGCTCTGGTCGTTCTTTTCGGCGTCGCGAGCCGCAGCACCCGGCACTGCAGCCCCTTCAGACTCGTTCACGTCCTCCTCCTCGTACGTCCATTCTTCCTCCTCCTTTTTGCGCTTCCGCGACTTGCCCTCGGCTTTGCTGCTGGAGCGCTTCGGGGGACCCATTTTCAATGTTTCACTTGCGTTTTATCCAACACTTTTTACATTTCAAGAGTTGCACAACTTGACACAGGTTATTGAAGTTGTGTCAAACAAAAAACACGAGCACCAACTTTATGACACCAAAAACGCGCCAAGTGTGGTAAAAAAAAACGAAAAAGAGACGTTGCGTACAATGCAAACACACAAACAAAAAACAAACATTAATACTTACACTTTTATAAGAATTGACATTTTTATTTGCGTGGCATTAAACAAAAAAATTAGAAAAACCTCTCGGTCAAGGTGGCTCAAGTACCAGAAACACTACCAATCTGATACTACTAAAGTCACTGAAAAAATAAACAACACGTGAGAGTGAAGTTTGAGGTTATGCTTAGTGTTTGAAAGTGTTTAATTGATTAAAAATGGGCACACCGTCGAATCCCAAGATCCACAATGTGCGATTTTATAAACCTAAACCTAAGGCAGTTTACTGTATGGCTCTCTCTCTGGAAAATAAATTAGCCGTGTCGAGGTATTATAACCTCACTTTTTTAGTTCTACTCATTTATTTAACGATTTTAGGTCTGATGCAAGTATTGAAATATGGAATCTGACTCACTGTGCCTTTATCGAACGCACAATTGCGTCGTCGACTGAAAATTTTAGTATTGAGGGCCTCGCATGGTGCGATTCTCGCTTGTTTAGTGTGGGGCTTCACGGGCTTTTAGTTGAGTACGATTTGGTGAAATTGGATGTGAAAAGTCGGTCTGTGGTCACCGGTGAGGCCGCTTTCTGTCTAGATGTGAACAAACAGAAAACTCAAATCGCGATTGGGACAGAACAGGGATATTTGAACATTTTCCAAGTAACGGAGGATGAGGTGTTGTTTGAGAAGTTTTTAGATAAGCAAGAGGGGCGTATTTTGGCAATAAAGTTTGATAATTCTGGAGAATTTATCGTGTCTGGGAGCATGGATGCGATCCGCATTTGGAGCGTTAAAACAAGTATTTTTTTTTAAATAATGTACCAAAAAAAACTTATAATTTTTAGACCAAGCGTTACATAAAATGATCCCTGGCCGTGCTGAGCACAATAAACCGACTATAGTGTGGTGTCTTGCCATCACCCAAGACTTCACAATAATCAGCGGCGACTCCCGTGGGATTTTGACTGTTTGGGATGGTAAAGTGGGGGCCCAGCTTGAATCATATCAATCACACCGCGCCGATATCCTTTCACTTTGCCTCTCAGAAGACGGAGACTCCCTTTATTGCGCCGGTATTGACCCCAACATAGTCAATTATGTCCGAATTGAGGTCAAAGAAGGGGCTCATAAGTGGGTCCGTAGCATCCAACGAAAAATCCACGACCACGACGTTCGCGCCCTCGCCCTCAACGGCAATAAATTGTACTCGAGTGGGGTTGACGGGTACTTGACTTGTAGTTATCACCCCCCGAAAACTCTTCTCAAGTACCCCCCAATTTTGCAAAACCCGTGTGTGACTATATGTGCAAAAGCGCGGTACGTGATGTTACGTTACCCCAAATTTATCGAAATTTGGAGTCTTGGGGAGACTGGGGGCGAGCGTGATAAACACACGGGGCTGTACCAAGTCGAGAAAGCCCCCCGGAAGTTGGTGGTGTTGCAAAAAGTGGTGACCGACGACGAAGGGGTTGAAAAAAAGGAAGGGATTATTTGTAGTACCATTTCGGATGATGGTACTCTAATTTTGTATAGTACGAGATTAGGGGTTAGGTTACTGAAGTTAGATTGTGGGGAAACTACCCCTAAATTAGTCCCGATTGAGTCAGAGGGGCTAGGGGTGGCTCCCTGTGTCAATGCAAAATTTACGAAAGATAATCGGTTGATTTTGGCGCCAAATTCTGGGGGTTTACAGGTTGTGGGGTTAGACTCTAGTAACTGTAACACTGTCTTGATACAAAATATAAATACAGAATCAGGTAGGCGTTTTGTTTGGGTTACCAAATGATTAGCTTTTGTTTGTAGAATTTGGGGATACGATTGTGTTATTGGCGGTGGCTGACTCCGCCCAATTTTTGGTGGGGGGTGATGTTAGAGGTAATATTGCTGTGTGGACTTTGAAGAATGATCAATATGTTTTTTATTGTAAATTACCAAAATATAAATTAAGTCCGACTGCGATGGCTATTCAACCAAATTCAACGAATTTAGTTGTTGCATTTAATAATAATAATGTAAGTTATTTTTTGGAGATGGACAAAAATTAATGTTTTTTTTATAGATTATTGAATATGATTTGAATAGGAGAGAATTGACGAAATTTTCGAGGTTTTTATCAAGAAATATTCCGAAACAATTGACGGCTAGGTTTTCACCAATTCGGAATATTACTTTCGATCCGAGGGTAAATCACGTGATCATTTTGCATGATGATGACAGCGTTTTGGTCATCGACAAAGAAAAGGTAAGTGTAACTATTGAATTATTGACGAGGGAAAATAAAAATTGGAAGGTATAAAAAATTATTTATGCATTAAGGAAATAAACAAAACAACAATTTCAATCCAGAGTATGTAGGTAATGCCAGAGGCATTTGATCTGCCTCACCAACATAAAATAACCAATCACAGTTAAAGTCTGATTAAACAAAATTAAAAACAAATCGAAAATAAAATTTAATTCAAATCTCCAAAATTAGTGCCAGGTAGATTTACAGGTCTGTAGATAGATCTACAGGCCTGTAGATAGATCTACAGGGCCATAGACAAATTTACAGGTCTGTTGATAGATCTACAGGTTTGTAGATAGATTTACAGGTCTGTAGATAGATTTATAGGTTTGCAGATAGATCTACAGGTCTGGAGAAAGATCTACAGGTCTGTAGATAAATCTACACGTCTGTAGATAAATCTACACGTCTGTAGATAGATTTACAGGTCTGTAGATTGGTCTACAGGTCCGTAGATTTGTGACCTTGACAATTCTATTATCAACTGAAATGCAGTATACCAATTTGAATAAAGCCAAGTTACTTTCTTCAAATCAAATAATGTATGTTTTTGGTGTTAAAACTACACCTACAAAAGGATAAAACAGGGTGTTAAACTTTTTATGGACAAAAACTCTCTCTGAAAACCTGTGAAATTTTTACAAATAAAATTGTTAACTATCTTAACCTCACTTTTTTAGTGACAAATTTAGTTCCTTAATAAGTAAAGCCTCTTTTACATTTAAAGCATGGTTTACTCAATCATGACTTACTGTTATGCCAATTTTAATAAAATGGATTATAAGGTAAGATACCAGGAACATGGAAAAAACGTTAAAAAAAGTTATCTATAAAAATGTCGAAGTTATGAGAGTTTAAATTTTGAACTTTGACTCTATTTACTTCTGTTGGAAAAACAATTTTCGAAGTTTTTTTGCTATAGGGTATTAGAAGAGGAAACAAGAAAGCTGTATCCTAAATTGTAACTCTGTTTTTTTTTTGGCTTTTATTGGCAAAATGTTAGTACTTTTACTAAATAATTATAAAAAAAAAACATATTCAAGTTCAACAATATCATTAAATAGACATAAAAAATATCAAATACCAAAAAATAAATGTCAAAATTTTTTGACAGGTAGAATGTTTTTAAGATTTTTTGATGTTCCTTGAAATTTTTCTCTGGGGCGCTAGTTCTGACACACCCTGTTGATCTATAGCTACAGGTCTGTAGGTAGTTCTACAGGTCTGTAGATCTACAGATAAATCTACAGTTACAGGTCTCTACATAGATCAACAGTTACAGGTTTCTACATAGATCAACAGTTACAGGTTTTAAGTCTGTAGATAGATTTAAAAATAATGGTAAAAGAAAATGTTAAATTTGTCAAATAATGTCAAAATTTTTCAGCTCATTTAATTTCAATTTTAAGAGTAAAAATCGGTACCTATCAAGGAGTGCACTTTGGTGGAAAATTATTAAGATATACAGGGTGATTATAAAAACGGCAAGCGCTGTAAAATTTGTATTTATGGCTCGTTTTCAAAAATTAAAAAGATAAATTAAATGTTTTTTAAGATTAGATTTTTTAATGTGTTACAGTATATTTTGGACTTTATTCAACTTTCTAATTTCTAAGAGAGATTTTTTTTTCATAATTTAAAAGATATTAGTTTTTTTGGTACAGATATGTGCAATTTCTTTTAATATTACCAAAAAGTTTTGTTTAAAAAAATTATCAAAGTTGAAAATAATAATCAAACGCTTAAGCGCAAAAATAGAATCTCCTCCATGGGTGAAAGGTATGACATAAAAGTGGTCACTTTCGTTACGTTTGCGGATAAATTAATTTCTTTCTGACATACAGGCTGTATTATAAAAAACGCCCCATAATTTCATTATTTTTAAAGACGTTATAATATTTTTTTGCTCAAAGTTGAACAGTTTTTCGTTATCAATCGTTTGCTTGTCTTAGATAAAATAAATAAAAATGTTCTATTCTTTCCACAGCCTATTTTATATAATTTAATTATCAAATTGTCTAAAATCAAAAGTTAGTGATAAATAATAGTAAGTAAACTTGTTGAGAGACAATTTCATGAAGAATCTAAGAATACTAAAATATACAGGGTATTACATTTAAGAAACTGAAATTAAGGTCACCTTCGGTGAAACAGGGGCAGCATTGATTGAGCATCTAAGTCGAACAACAGATGACAAGAAACTGTTCAACTTTTTTACAAGAAGAATTGTCATGTCTTTAAAAATAATGGAATTATGGTTTGGGGCGTTTTTTATAATACAGCCTGTATTAAAAAAAATCCGAGTCAAGTTATGCAAGTGCCTGTATCGAGTTGCAATGCTGTATCGAATTGTTGAGCGTGGAGAACCTCGCATTGAAACAATAATGAACTTGAAAGGGCATCATTAATTCACGTAAATCTTGTAGTTCTCCATTTAATCCAGTTTGCACGTTCTCGCCGATTCCTCGAAACGGTACATCAAATTACGTGTCGACATCAATGGAATTGTCTGAATCGGTTCGTGTTCGTCGTTTTTGACATCGTTTGGTTCGATTCTCGTTCAGGTGTCACAACTTGCTCGCAACCATTTTTCTCTTTTGGAAAAAAAATCAACAGTTTGCCTATTCAAAATCGTCGGTTGACCGACCGCCGCTATCATTCGCGTCACGTCCGACCTTTGTGGGGGCCTTCGTGATGAATGCGAGTCCATCAATAGGAAAGTGGTGCGTCCCTTGTGCCACCTGAACACCTCGATAAGTCAGCGTTTGCATAGCCCCGGACGAAATGCATGTTAATTAATCACTGTTTTGCCGGGGCTCCGGTGAATGGCAACTCTTGCAGCGTCTCTTGAATAGAACGACTCGACAGTGATAAATCGCCGAAGCGATGCTATCGCAAATTGCATTACAAGGATGCGATGTTTTGTCGGGCGGAAGGTGGGGGCGGAAGGTGGCGGCGGTTGGGGGCCACATACGACGTGTGTGATGACTCTTCTGGATAGGTGCGTCGGGACGACAGCAGACGTTATTAATTGCTTTTGGGTGGACGGGGCAAGGGGGGTAATAACAAATGGTGCACGATGTAATGACCTCAGTGAGGGGTGTGAGGGAAATGTACAGGGTGCTGCATTTTGGATGTCCGAATAGGGAATCTCCGAAACTAAGAGGTTTAGCCAAAAACGAGTGATACATAATATTGACAAAAGTTGACATTTTGGCGAAATCTAAAAAAAATATATCTTCGTTATTATAGAAGATACGGATTTGAAATAAAGATATTATACAGGCACTTTTTTAATAGGAATTTAATAATGTAGTTAACATTTTTTTGAGTTATTGGTTTAGCCGTAATAAAATAATTTAGGCGGCTATGGCAATTTTGGAAAGCTCATTTTTTTCTGATCTAAAAAATATATATTTGTAACAGAATATTTTTTTATTATTATACTTAGAACATGAAATACATATTTTGTTTGATAATAGGTGGCCATGGAAAAACTATTTCACTCCAAATGTGTAAATAATAATCAATAAGAGTTTTGTGAACTGTAAAATAGATGAAAAAAATACATAAAATTATAAAAATTTAAAAAATACGATACTGTAGAAGTATTGAACAAATATGCCAGCGCCTCAGAAAAAATTATTACATATTTTTAAAAAATCCAAAAATAGGAAAAACAAATGTGTCAACAGTCAACACAATTAGAAAAACATTTTTTTGGTGATCTAATGGAGGTAGGATAACGTTTCACATAGATGGAATTTGGGTACTTGAATAGCCATATTGTCATTTTTGTGTCATATAAAATATATTTTATTGAAGAATTTAAGCGGCTTTTTTTACAACACTCTATGTATCACTAGAAGTTACAATGGTAATGTTAACTTGTTTAAAACAAAGAAATATTATTATTTGCCAATAAGTTGATTTACGATTTATTTTGCATTTTTTTCATTACTTAGTACTTAGAAAACTCTTTCATTACTGACATTGGTTGAATAATATAGTTTAAATCCTTATAGTTGAAGATGCAACATTTTTTCATGGCCAACTGCGAACAAAAATCAAAGATAATTTTTTGCTAAAAATGTATTATAATAATTTGTTACAAATATATATTTTTTAAATAAGAAAAAAAACAAGTTTTTTAAAAATGACATAGCCATCTATGATTCCCATATAAAAAAATACAAATTTATTTTATTACGGCTAAACAAACAACTGAAAACAATTGTTAACTACATTATTAAATCCTACGTAAAAAAGTGCCTGTTAAATCTCTTTATTTCAAATCTGTGTCTTCTATAATAACAAATATATGAATTTTTTTAGATTTCACTAAAATGTCAATTTTTGTCTATAAGTCGAAAACAAAAGACGATAGCGAGATGCGGTTTTAACCAATATTATTTCCTCAAAAAATGAGCCCCAAAATGTATTACTCGTTTTTGGCTAAACCTCTTAGTTTCGGAGATTCCCTATTCGGACATCCAAAATGCAGCACCCTGTACATTTTGAGGGGTATTTGGTATACTCAATGATGGGGTAATATTTCGCGACCAGTGTTTAAAAAATTGTTTCAATATTAAATTAATTTATACGCAAATGTCACAAAAGTAACCACTCTTATGTCTATGGAGTAAAAAAATCCATTTTTGCGTCTAAGCGTTTTTACTTTAACCATTGACGTTTAGTAATGTTGTTTCTTTCGGAGAGGTACATGTAGATCATCAGCATTCTACATTTTGCACTACTAACTGCACTAGTTAAATTACTAAACACTTTCCAAAACCTTAACACTTTCTGATTATTTTGTTGATTTACTTGTCAATTTTAGTGTTGCTTCTTACTTTCGATCAGAATACGTTTGCGGATAAAATAGTAAATGTTATTCGGAGTAAAAGTGAGTTTATGTGGCTCGGCTCCTAACAACATATTGCAGTGTGCTGCTA